AAAACTGCCAGTGCTGAGATGAACAATCCCATGATACCAGTGTGACACATTTGAACTGCCAGTGCTGGGCCAGAGAATTGAGAAACACAGCAAACAGGCCAGGATACCATGGGTGGGGGGAAGTGAGCCTGAGGGAAAGAGTACAGCACCCGACTGGGTATTCTGTCCATCCAAAAGTTACACAGGGCAGAGACCTGTGTTGGTGAATCATGAATTGCCCAGTGTGGGAGGAAACTGAGATGCTTTGAGATCTAGCCCCCAAGGAAGCCACCATCACCAGAGAGGAAGGCATCAGAGAGACCAAAAAGAGAGAGAAGTAACCAAGATCTCAGTGGGAAAGCATCAAGTCCACTTCCCTTGTGTTCTATATAAGGAATCGGAAGCAGCGCTATCCAATGTCACAATCTAATTAGTTAGAGAACAAAAAATGGATCTCATTATTAGTACAGAACTCTTTAAACCACACCACTAAAGCAAGGAAACATTTACCTGGTGAGAGTGAAGTGTATTTCATTAGTGTTTCTGGGGCTTTCCCTTATCTTAAAGCCCAAGTAATAAAACTGAAGCCTATTAGATAGATTCACTTTTCAATCAAGCAACATTTATGTACACATGCAAACATATATGTATGTAGACACACACATGTGCATGTGTTTGTATACATGATATGCATGCATGTGTGTATGCGTATGTGTATGTATGTGTAAAAGGCATTTTGGAAAGAGCAGTAGAATCAGTACAGCTGGGTTCAAATCCTAAGAATTATTCCTCATGCGACCTTCAACTCCCTGCAATAAGGTTCCCTCTCTGTAAAATGAAAAGATTGGATTAGACGATAGCTAAGGTATTTCAAATCCTTACACTTTAATCCTACATTAGCAAATAACGTTGTGTAAAGACATAGCTAGGAGCCCACAGAGGTGTCAATTCATCTCAAGGGGAGTAATACAAATGTACTTTCAGCACTTTGGACAGAAACAGCATCAAAATGGCAACACAGTCAGGCTGGACAGCTTCGTTTACTTTCTCAGTCAAGAACAAGATAAGACAAGATACAGAAAATAGGAGAGGGAGTAGAAAAAATCCTTCCTGGGCCAGCTTCCCTTACCCTTGTCAAGGTTACCACTAATGATCTGGCACCTAGAGCACAGTAGAGAGAACGCCTCACTGGGAATTGGGGAGACATGAGTTCAAATCTGACCTCAAATACTTAATAGCTGTGTGATCCTGGGCAAATCACTTAACCTATGTTTACTTCAGTTTCCTTAGCTATAAAGTGGGAATAATAATAGCACCTAACTTCCTGGGGTGTTATAAGGATCAAATTGGATAATATTTGTAAATCACTTAGCATAGAGTCTGGTACATAGCAGGTACCATATAAATGTTAGCTAATAGTAGTAGCAGCAGCAGCAGCAGCAGCAGCAGCAGCAGCAGCAGTAGTAGTAGTAGTAGTAGTCCCACCACAGAATGTTGTGCTACTTAATGCAATAACAGGATGAACTTCAGAAATTTTGACTCCTCTAGACTATTAGGGTCACCATTACTTAAATATCAATTGGTTTTATAATAATTTTCCACATCAAGACAAAATAGCAAATCTCATTTTAAAACAGTAGTTTCATCAAAAACTATATGCATTTGTAAGAATACTCAAACATTATTATCATTTTTAAAGGAAACATTTATATGACCTTTTAGGATTCACCAAAAGTTTTTAGCCATTATAACTGCTCTTCACAGTATCCCTATAAGTTTGGTCTTTATGGGTATTATCACCCCCATTTTCAATGTAGATAAAATTAGACTGGGAGACATTAAATGACTTGTCCCAAGTCACATAGGAAGTATGAGGCAAAATTAAACCATGACTCTATTCTGATTCCAAAACCAGGTCAGGAAGTCCAAACTGCTCACCCCAGTACCTTCTAAAAGTGATTTTTATCTTTGTCTCTAAAATCACATCACAACGTTGAATTGTTTTATGTAGAAATTAATTTCAGTATCTCTAAGTAGATGTAGGTGACTGCCAATGATTTCATTCTAATTCTGCATAGAGAAGAGCAGGACAGCATCCAGAAAGGCAATGTGTGGTAATGGATAGAAAGATGGCATTACAGTCAAGAAGTGTAGGTTCATCCCTGCTTCTTGCCTATACTGACTGCTTGAGCCTGAACAAGACTCAATCTCTTTGAATCTCAAGAAATACGCCAGGAATACAAGGAGGTGTAAAAGAATTGCCATTCTCCATGAACATAGGGGGTTTCCTCAAAGGAGTCATAGATTTTGAGTTGGGACTGAATTTAGAAGTCATTTAGTAAAAACATTCTCATTTTATAGAGATAGAGACTGAAGTTAAGAGTAGCTTAGTGACTTAGGCATGGCCAAAAAGGTAGTCATTGATTCCTGATCCAGGATTTTTCACTGTTTAATGTTGTTTCTCCAAAGGAATCAAAGGTGAAATTAAATGATGATGATGATGATAATGATAGTAATAGAACAGACACAGTAGCACCTGTAAAGTTCATCTTTCCAACCACTTACATTTTACTGACAAAAAAATAAAGGCTCAGAAAAGTTTAATGTCTTTCTTCAGGTTCTACCTATCATGGGTGGTAAAAGTGTGACTAGAAGGCAGGTTTTCTGACTCCAGTTCAATTTTAACTATGCCAATTCCTCTATGAACACCATTATTCTTCTTAACATGAGTTGACAGGAGAAAGCCATCATCTGTTTACCATAACACATATCCTTCCTTCTGAAACACTTTTAAGAAGCATGCTGAAGGTCTTGCAGCTCCAGCCTTACAGAACACAGCAGGGAGCTCTATGTACATGCCACGATGTTGTTTGTCCTTTGTTTTGGAAGATGACCAATGATATCACAGTTAATGACTTGCACATGTACTGGATTTAAGTGAGGCTGAGTTACATAAAGTCATCACCCTCACTCTCTCTTCCTGAGTCACCAAAGTCCAGTGGCAGGACAAAAGTCAGAATGACTGGCAATGGCCTAGGATGCATGCCATGATGAAAGTGAGATTAAAGCTCCAATATGAAATGCTCAGACGCAATCATAGGGACCTCAGACTTGGTCAACTTTGCTCTACCAGAAAAGATCTCTATCATTAGTAGGGATATCTCTGTGCCACTAACTGGTGAAAGGAAGTAATAAGAAATTAAGATCAACAAAACACGAAAAACATAATTACTGCATCAGAAGAAATAACTGGAGCTACAGACCCAGAACTCCCAATGACTTACGCTGAAACAAAAGAACATAATTACCCACATTCTTTCGATTTTCAAAGCACTTTCATAAGTGAGCTTGAAGCAAAAATTACATGGGTTTGTATCTTTGTGTTTATTTCCAAGAATATTGTTATTGTTCATTTTTTCAAAATGTACTAATAATTACTGACCACAAAGAAGTATGAATTATTTTACCTTCCTAAGCATAAGTTTCATCATTGGTACAATGAGGGTGTTGGACTAGATCAGGGGTGGGGAACCTGTGGCCTCAGTGCTACATGTGGCCCTCTAGATCCTCAAGTGCAGCCCTTTGCCTGAATCCAAACTTCACAGAACAAATTTGTTCTGTGTTTGAATTCAGGCAAAGTTTGGATTCAGGCAAAGGGCTGCACTTGAGGATCTAGAGGGCTGCATGCAGCCTCGAGGCCACCCTGCCCTGGTAGATATTTCTTCCACCTTTTTAATCCTGTGATTATAAGCAAAGTCTTCGAAGGAAGGAGTATTTGAAAGAAGGAAACTTTTTGGAGTTGTAAGGGATTCAGTGATGATCTATTCCAATTTATAACTGGGAAAGAATATCTTTTTATTACATAGCCTACAAATTGTTATCCACTTTTTCCATGAGTACCTCCAATGAGGAGGAGACTAGTACTTTCCAAGGTAGCTCTTTGGAATAATGGCTAGCTATTCTGATAAGGTATTATACTTTCATGTTGTTGTTGTTCAGATGGTTCAGTCATGCCTAACTCTTCATGACATGACCCCATTTGGGATTCTCTTGGCAAAGATACTGGAGAAGTTTGTCATTTCCTTTTCTAGCTCATTTTACAAATGAGGAAACTGAGGCAAACATAATTAAGCGATTTGCCCAGGGTCAGCTAGTAAGTGTCAGAGGCCAAATTTTAATTCAGGTCTTCCTGACTCTAGGCCTTAAACTCTATCCACTGCACCACCTAGGTGTCCCATTATGCCTTCATAGTAACTACTTGTTTCACTTTCATGTTGGTGAATAGTTTGCCATTTATTTCTACAGTAAAATGCCATTACAGGTAATATTTGGATTACATTATCCTTTTGCTAACGTGATTCTAGTTACTGTCATTTTGAATGAAAAATAGAGTATGCCCAAACATCTCCATCTTACTGGTGTCAGGGGATTTTTCATCTGTACTATTAGATAGCACTAACTGTTAGGAAACTTTTCCTTTTATCAATCCTCACATCAATTTTTCAAAAATAGACTGAATGTTGACTAATATTTCAATATTTTGTTTGTGTTTGTGTCTAAAACCTAGCACTTTTTGCCCATAGGAAGTGCTTATTAAATGTTCATTGAATTGAATTGAATTGGATTTCATCAAATAACAAAACTGACTACTACATTTAGCGTTCAGAACCAAGGACAAGGCTCAGCTCCTCGCATGGTCAAGTACCTAACACTCTTTGTAAGAACTCAATAAAAGTTTGTTGACTGACTCAATACAACAGAATCTGGATTAAATTAAAACATGATTAAAAAATTTAAAGCATTATTCTTACAAATTATCACTTGTCAGTAAGCATAATACAAGTTTAGATACTGTTGAATTTAACTAAAACATACTAGGGTATGGTATCTATAAAAGTGAAGGGAATTTTCAGTACAGTTATTACAACAGAATACAAAATGCTATTTTCCCCTTCAATTTAAGCTTAATTAGCTAAAGGTCAGCAATAATTTTAGGTGTTGTTTTTAATCACATTTTCCTTTCAATAATTCTTAAAGAGAAAGGTTTCCTTACTTGTAATATCATCATTCATCTCTTCAAGCTCATTGTGGATTCCAGCATCTATGGAGCTCATTATTTTATCAATCTATAAAAAAACAAAAACAGTGAGAAGAATTCATTGAATGTCTCCATTGCACCTGATAATTCCCCAAACACAAAAGCAGAACATTTTCAGTATTGTGAATGCAACAATACCACAATCAAGAAAACCTACAGGACAGGGAAAGCTTTAGAGAGAGGCCTCTGTTATATCGCATCCTGTTATTACAGATGAAATGACACTGTTTTGGGTAGAAAGTGGAAGCTGTCATCTTCTCCTTCATGATTTCATGAAATTAGCTTAAACATTGATGGTAAGATTTTATGTAATTTTTCATTTGAACACACACACATATTAGATAGATAGATAGACAGACAGGCAGACAGATAGACAGATAGATAGATAGATAGACAGATAGATAGATAGATAGACAGACAGACAAACAGATAGATAGATAGATAGATAGATAGATAGATAGATAGATAGATAGATAGATAGATAGATAGATGATAGGTAGATAGATAGATAGATACATAGACATGATAGATAGATAGATAGATAGATAGATAGATAGATAGATATAGATAGACAGACAGACAGACAAACAGATAGATAGATAGATAGATAGATAGATAGATAGATAGATAGATAGATAGATAGATGATAGGTAGATAGATAGATAGATACATAGACATGATAGATAGATAGATAGATAGATAGATAGATAGATAGATAGATAGATAGACAGACAGGTGGACAGATAGACAGATAGATAGATAGATAGATAGATAGATAGACAGATAGATAGATAGATAGAGACAGGCGGACAAACAGATAGATAGATAGATAGATAGATAGACAGACAGACAGACAAACAGATAGATAGACACATAGAGATAGACAGATAGATAGATAGACAGACAGACAGACAAACAGATAGATAGATAGATAGATAGATAGATAGATAGATAGATAGATAGATAGATAGATAGATAGATAGATAGATAGATGGACAGGCAGGGGAGATAGATAGATAGAGACAGACAGACAGACAGACAGACAGACAGACAGACAGATAGATAGATAGATAGATAGATAGATAGATAGATAGATAGATATAGACTCATTAGTAGCAACAAGTGTTTCTAGCTATTTCCCTGTAAGATATGAAGTATTAACAAAACAGAGAATCCCAGTATTGGAAGGGACCTCAGAAGCCATCCAATCCAAGCCAGACATGAAAAACAATTCATTCACAGTATTTCCCTAACAAGTGGTTATTCAACCACTTCCTGAAGACCTCTAATGAGGAAGGAACCTAGTATGTACCAACGCAGCATATTCCACTTTGTGTATCTCAAATTCTTCATATTTTTTTCCCCTACAATCAAGCCTTAAACTTCATCTTTGCAACTTCCAACTGTTATTCCCAGTTTTATCCTGGAGGCCAAGCAGAAGTTCAATCTTGTTTCCAGGAGACTGCCTTTCGAATATTTGAAGATAGGTTTAATGTCCTCACTAAATCTTCTCTTTTATAAGATAAACATTCCTATTTCCTTCATCTGATCTTCACACATTATGAACTCAAGGCCCTTCTACTATCTTCACTCATTTCCTCTGCAAGTTCTCCAGTTTATCAATACTCACCATAAACTGTAATGCCCAGAAATTAACACAGTGCTCTGAATGTGGTCTGCCCAGACAGAGGTCTATCACCTTTGTATTCCTGATAAGCTAAGCTCTTCTTAATTCAGATTAAGAATGACTTAGCTTTCCTGGATGCCATGTCACCATTATAGTATGTTGAGTTTTCAGTTCGGTCAACCCTCCATATCTTTTTTTTTTTGGAGTGAAAAAAATCTGTCTAAGTATAACCCCCATCTTATACTTGTAAAATCTATGCTGGAAACCAAATATCAGGTTTGTTATTTATCCCCATTCAACTTAAAATTACTAGATTCAGCTCAATGTTTTGTCCTGTCCACTTTGCATCCTGACTCTGTTATTCATTGTAATAACTACTGCTCCCAGGTTTGTGTCTCTTCCAAATGTGATAAGGTTGCCATCTATGGCTTTAAACAAATTATTAATAAAGATGTTATATAGCACGGGGCCATTCATATTCCTCGGGAAACTGGAGGCTTTTAAAAAAAGTTGCTATCAAACTATCGATTTAGGGTGAGATATTCACACACTCTCACCTCTACTCATGACCAATAACATGCCTTTTGTGAGATTATGATAATGAATCAGTCTATGGCTACACAAAAAGTTTATTTCTGCCACACAATGGACTGAATTTACAATGTTGGCTACACGTCCTCATCAAAAAGGCTGACTAATTTTAAACTCTAACTTTTGCTAATAGCCAAGTGCTAACGGGTGATTTTATAGGTGCACGGGCAGGTGTAAGTGTTTGATTTGGGAAGGAGGGACAAGGCCAGAAATTTCATGAGTATAGGGAACTCACTGCCAATGCTGGTACCCATGCTGGATGGCATTGTCTTACAGCATTGCCTGAAGAATTGAGAGAATGAGAGATTTGCCCAGGTTCACTCAGTCAGCATATGTCAAGGGCAGGTCTTGAATTCGATACTTTCTGAAGATGACTCTCAGACTTGCTACACCACACTATCTTACAACCAATGACAGAGAACACAGATACAGAAAATTGAAAAAGAAAACTTGTCACCTACTAGATGAAAGCATGAAAATAGCAGGAATGTTGATCAATAGGAAGGTGACTGATCACATGAGTAACCATGTGACAAAAAGTGTGCTGGCCTGGAAACCAACAGAGCTGGAGCCCAGCTTTTTTTTTTTCTGGATCTCTCACCACATGCAATTCTCTTGGTCTTTATGAACTTCGATTTCTTTTCTTTCTTTCTTTCTTTCTTTCTTTCTTTCTTTCTTTCTTTCTTTCTTTCTTTCTTTCTTCTTTCTTTCTTTCTTTCTTTCTTTCTTTCTTTCTTTCTTTCTTTCTTTCTTTCTTTCTTTCTTTCTTTCTTTCTGAGGCAGTTGGGTTAAGTGACTTGCCCAGGGTCACACAGCTAGTAAGTGTCAAGTGTCTGAGGTCCAGATTTGAACTCAGGTCCTCCTGACTCCAAGGCCAAAGCTCTGTCCACTGCACCATCTAGCTGCCTCTGAACATAGAATGAGCATATCAAAACATGTCCTACCTACCTCATGGGGTTGCTTGGAGGAATGAGATTTATAAAGTGTAAACTTCTTCATAAAATGATATATATGTTATTTTTTTTTAAATTTTGCACCACATCGTTAGGTAGGTGTCAATTCCTATGGTCATAAAAAGGCTTCTCTCTATGGAAGTAACTATGTTTGATCTATGATGCTAGTTGCAAAATAGTAAAGCATTTCCATCCTTTTTGCCTTCTGTGATGAAGATACTATTTTCTTTTTACTTCCAAAAATATTAGACATTTAAAATCTGTCCCTTCCCCAACTACCCAGTTCCACTGTCTTGTTTAATAAATAATAAAAAGATTCAACTTACTTCTTCCCATTCAGAAGTGAAGGAAGGAGTCCTCTCAGAATTCCCTTTAGAACTGGGTTCAGTTGTTGAGGATTCACTCCAGTTCACCCTTGAAGTTTTCTCAGTGGATGGGTAGGCAATGAGATCAGAATCAGATTTGGAAACATTTTTGGACAAGTGCAAATCAAGAAGGGCCTTTGGCAAAGACCGTATCCTTCCCAGAGTACAGGCTCGCTCCACGAATCCTCCTGTGCTAACACCCCACTGGTCCCCATTCCCATTTCTTGTTCCATTTCTTGCTGTTCTTGTGCCAACAAGGGTGTGATTTTCTAATGCGCGGCTTTTTGTGTGAAAAATGGTTCTACTAACCACTTTGGGCTTAATTTTCTTTACTGGAGCTCCTGGGTTATTTCCTGGTGGAGGCTGCTGATAATGGAGAGGATTATTCATCAAACTAATTTCTTCCTGTGCTCCTCCACACATGTTTGCTTTGCTATAGAGACGAAGTGGATTATCAGGGGACTCACAGGCTGGAGAAGATCCATGGAGCAGGCCAGCAAATTGCCCAGGATCATGTTCCTCTGGAGGGTCATTGTCTTCCTGTTGACAGGGATCTGCAAAAGGAGGAGAATGGAATCAGTTTCTGTGTTTGTTTCAACTTTGTTGGTAAATGTCAACAAAAACATTCATAATAATTGCTCTACCATTCTTAATTTCTAGGAGTTTGGGTTGTGATATCTGATTGATTTCTATGTGGCCTTATCTTACTTTGCCATGGATTTGCTTCTGATGTGTAGTACATATGATGCATTTTTATAAATGGAAGATTTCTAAAATAAAGTAGGGGAATATTTCTCTTTTTTCCACTTAAAAGTAATTTTTTTCCAATTACATGTAAAGATAGTTTTCAATGTTCATTTTTATAGAATTTTTCATTTTTTCCTCCTTCCTTCCATTCCCTCTTCCCCTCTTCCCAACATAGCAAGCAATTTAATATAGGATATATATATATATATATATATATATATATATATATATATATATATATATATATACATACAATCACTTCAAATATATTTCCACATTAGTCATATTTTGAAAAAAGAATCAGAACAAAAGGGAAAAACCACAGGAAAGAAAGAGACAAAAAAAATGAAAATAGTATGCTTCGATCTGCATTCAGACTCCATAGTTCTTTCTCTGGATGTAGACAGCATTTTCCAATGAGTCTCTTGGAACTGTCTTGGATCACTGTACTGCTAAGAAGAACCAAGTCTATCATAGCTGATTATTGTACAATGTTGCTATTACTGTGCACAATACTCTACTGGTTCTGCTCACTTCACTCAGTAGTACTTCATGTAAGTCTTTCCAGGTTTTTCTGAAATTCACCTGCCCATGATTTCTTATAGCATGACAGTATTCCATTACATTCATATACCACAGCTTGTTCAGCCATTCCCCAATCAATGGGCATCCCCTCAATTGCCATTTCTTTGCCACCACAAAAAGAACTATTTCTATACATTTGGGTCCTTTTCCTTTTTTTATGATCTCTTTGGGATACAGACCTAGTAGTGATATTGCTGCACCAAAGGGTATGCACCGTTGCATAGCCCTTTGGGCATAGTTCCAAATTTCTCTCCAGAATGGTTGGATCAGCCCATATCACCACCAACAATGCATCAGTGCCCTAATTTTCCTACATTTCCCCCAACATTTATCATTTTCCTTTTCTGTCATGTTAGCTAATCCAATAGGTGTGAGGTGGTACCTTGGAGTGATTTTAATTTGCATTTCTCTAATCAATAGTGATTTAGAGTATTTTTATATGACTACAGAAAGCTTTAATTTCTTTATCTGAAAACTCCCTCTTCCTATTCTTTGACCAGTTATCAGTTGGAGCATGCCTTGTATTCTCATAAGTTTGACTTAGTTTTCTGTATATTTGAGAAATGAGGCCTTTATCAGAAACACTGGCTGTAAAAATTGTTTCCAAGTTTTCTGCTTTCCTTCTAATCTAAGTTGCATTGGTTTTCTTTGTGCAAAACCTTTTTCATTTAATTTAATCATAACTATCCATTTTGCATTTCATAATGTTCTCTATCTCGTTTGGTCATAAATTATTCCATTCTCCATAGATCTGATAGGTAAACTCTTCCTTGCTCTCCTAATTTGCTTATAGTATCACCCTTTATGTCTAAATCATGTACCTATTTTGAACTTGTCTTGATATATGGTGTGAGATGTCGGTCTATGCCTAGTTACTGCCATACTAATTTCCAGTTTTCCCAGAAGGTTTTATCAAATAGTGAGTTCTTATTCCAGAAGCTGGAGTCTTTGAGTTTATATAACAGTAGATTACAATAATCTTCTTTACTGTGTCTTGTGTACCTAACCTGTTTCACTTATCCACCACTCTATTTCCTAGTCAGTACCAAAGAATATGGTGGGCAAAGTAACATATATACATATATACTTTATAATATAGTTTCAGATCTGGCATGGCTAGGCTACCTTCCTTTGCATTTTTCTTTCATTAATTCCCTTGATATTCTTGACCTTTTGTTTTTGCAGATGAATTTTGTTATTATTTTTTCTAGCTTTATAAAACAGATTTTTGGTTGTTTGACTGGTATGGCACTTAATAAGTAAATTAATTTAGGCAGAACTGTCATTTTTATCATATTAGCTCAGCCTACCCATAAGCAACTGATATTTTTATAATTGTTTAGATCTGATTTTATTTGTGTGAAACATGTTTTGTAATTGTGTTCATGTAGTTCCTGAGTTTGTCGTGGCAGATAGACTCCCAAATATTTTATATTATCTACAGTTATTTTAAATGGAATTTATCTATCTGTTGCTACTGAGCTTTCTTAGTAACATACAGAAATGCTGATGATTTATGTGGTTTATTTTATATCCCGTGACTCTGCTAATGTTGATAATTATCTCAAGTACTTTTTCAGTTGATTCTCTAGGATTCTCTAAGTACATCATCATATCATCTGCAAAGAATGACAGTTTTGTCTCCTCATTGCCTATTCTAATTCCTTCAAATTCTTTTTCTTCATTTATTGCTAAAGCTAACATTTCTAGGACAATATTGAATAATAAAGGTGATAATGGGCTTTCTTGCTTCACCCCTGATCTTACTGGGAAAGCTTCCAGCTTAACCCCATTATATATAATGCCTGCTAATGGTTTAGATAGATAGTACTTATCATTTTAAGGAAAACTCAATTTATTTCCATGCTCTCTAGTGTTTTTAATAGGAACAGGGGCTGTATTTTGTCAAAAGCATTTTCTGCCTCTATTGAGACAATCACATAATTTCTGTTAGTTTTATTATTGATATGATCAATTATGTTGACAGTTTCCCTAATATTAAACCAGCCCTGCATTCCTAGTATAAATCCCACCTGGTCATAGTATATTATGCTTGTGATAAATTGCTATAATATCTTTTGCTAATATTTAATTTAAAATTTTCGCATCAATATTCATTAGGGAAATTGTTCTATAATTTTCTTTTTCCATTTTGGTTCTTCCTGGTCTAGGTAGCAGCACCATATTTGTGTCATAAAAGGAATTTGGTAGGACTCTTTCTTCCTGTATTTTTCCAAATTGTTTATACATCACTGGCATTAATTGTTCTTTAAATGTTTAGTGGAATTTATTTGTAAATCTATCTGGCCCTGGAGATTTTTTTCTTAAGGAGTTCATTGATGGCTTGTTCAATTTCTTTTTCTAAAATGGGGTTAAGTATTTGATTTCCTCTTCTGTTAATACAGGTAATTTATATTTTTGTAAATATTCATCCATTTCTCTTAGACTGTTAGGTTTATTGGCATACAATTGGGTAAAATAGACCCCAATTATAGCTTTAATTTCATCTTCATTTGTAGCGAATTCTCCCTTTTCATTTTTTGATACTGGTAATTTGATTTTCTTCTTTTATTTAATCAAATTAACCAAAGGTTTATCTATTTTAATATTTATTTCCATAAAGCTGCTTCTTAGCTTTATTCAACAGTTTTCTTACTTCCAATTTCATTAATTTCTCCTTTCAGTTCCAGAATTTCTAATTTGGCATTTAATTGGGAATTTTTAATTTGTTCTTTTTCCAGCTTTTTTGGTTGCATGCCCAATTCATTGATCTCTTCTTTTTCTATTTTATTCATGTAAGCAGTTAGAGATATAAAATTTCCCCTAAGTACTGCGTTGTCTGCATCCCATAAATTTTGGTATGTTGTCTCATTATTGTCATTTTCTATGATGAAATTATCGATTGTTTCTTTGATTTGTTGTTTTACCTATTCATTCTTTAGGAATAGATTATTGAGTTTCCAATTAATTTTTAATCCATCTTTCTATGTTCCTTTAGTACATGTAATTTTTATTGCATCATGGCCTGAAAAGGGTACATTTAATATTTCTGCCTTTATGCATTGGATTGTGGGGTTTTTATTCCCTAATACATGGTCAATTTTTGTGTAGATGCCATGTACCACTGAGAAAAAGATATATTCATTTCTATCCCCTTTCAATTTTCTCCAGAGGTCTATCATATCTAATGTTTCAAAAATTCTATTTACCTCATTAATTTCCTTCCTGTTTATTTTGTATTTAGATTTCTCTAGTTTTGAGGGGGGAGGTTGAGGTCCCCCACTAGTATAAGTTTTGCTATTTCTTCCTGTAACTCCCCGAACTTCTCCTCTAAGAATCTGAATGCTATACCACTTGGTGCATATATGTTAAGTGTTGATATTGCTTCACTGACTACAGTGCCTTTTAGCAAGATGTAGTTTCCTTCCTTATCTCTTGTAATTAGATCTATTTTTTTACTTTTGCTTTGTCTGTGATTAAGATTGCTATCCCTGCTTTTTTTTTTACTTCAGCTAAAGCATAATATATTCTGCTTTAGCCCTTTACCTTTACTCTCTGTTTCGAATGTGTTCCTTGTAGGCAACATACTTTAGGATTCTGGTTTTTAATCCATTTTGCTATCCAGTTCCATTTTATGGGAGAGTTCATTCCATTCACATTCACAGTTATGATTATTAACTGTGTATTTCCCTCCATCCTATTTTTCACTCATTTATATTTTTCTTTCTCCTTTTACCATGTCCTGCCTCTCCAGTGTTTTGCTTCTGACCATCGCCTCCCTCAATCTATCCTCCCTTCTAACAGTTCCCCTTCCCTTTTCATTCCCTTTCCCTCTCCTACCTCTGCCCTTCCTTATATCATTCCTCTCCTCCCTTTTCTTTCCCTTTTCCTCTCTTACTTCCCAAAAGGATAAGATAAATTTCTACACCCAACTGAGTGTGTATGTTATTCCCTCTTTAAGCAAAATCTGATGAGAGTAAGTTTCAAACAATGCTCACTCCTTCCCTTCTTTCCTTCTACTGTATTAGGTCTTTTGTGCCTCTTCATGTGATGTAATTTACCCTATTCTGCCTCCCCCTTTCCTCTTCTCCCAGTACAATCCTTTTTTAACTCCTTAGTTTTTTATATTATCCATCAACACATTCCTATACCCTTTGTCTATGTATACTCCTTCTAACTGCCCTAACAGAGATACAGTTCTCAATAGTTACAAGTATCATCT